AGAAGCAGATGTGGAAGAGGGTGAGTATGGCTCCATTTCTATTGTCTCTTGTTCAGATAGGACTATGTGTTCAGGTAGGGTGCCTACAGGTGGTGGGGCCTGGCATTCAGAAGTCATCTCAGTTGTGTGGGGTGGGAGAGAGCACTCAGGTAGAGGGACCACATCTGGAGAACATGAGCTAACATCTTCCATCTCTGTTTCTGACACAACTGTGTGCTCAACAATGTCTTTTAATTTGAACTGAGTTACCTCATCAATGATCTTCAGGGATTCTTGTGTTGCATTTAGGGGGACTGCAGATTGAGAAGTCAATTTTGAATCTGGTGTGAAATGCTCACTTGCTAGGTCCTCTATCTCTGGCAGGACCATGTGTTGCAGCGTAGCAGCAGAAGGCAGGGGACTCTGGCACTCAGGAGTCCTCTCCATCAGGGATGGTGAGAGAGAGTGCTCAGACATAGAGGCCACAGCTGGAGACTGTGACTCAGGGTCTTTCATTTCTTCTGACAGAATCATAGACTCAGAAACATCTTTTGATTTTAATGGGAACTTGTGGTCAATTGTTTTCTTCAGTGACTCTTGTGCTTCATGGGAGGGAACTGAATATTCTGAAGCAGATGAGGAATCTGGAGTGTAACGTCCACTTTCTGAGGCCTCATCTCCTGAAAGGCCCATGTGTTCTGAAGGGGCTGCAGAAAACAGTGGTGACAGGTTTTCAGAAGACTTCTCAGGAGTGGGTGGCCAGAGAGAGCGCTCAGACACTGAGGCCACAGCTGGGGAACAAGGCTCAAACTCTTCGTTCTCTTCCTCTGAGAAAACTGCACATTCAGATACGGCTTTTGCACTGGATGGAGAGACTGGCTCAGCTTCTTGCTTCTCTGGTTCATGATTCAAATCCTGAGGCACAGAGTACTCTGACAGAAAAGCAGAGTCTGTAGAAACAGACTCGATTTCCTCTCTCTCCTCGGACAAAGTGACATGGTCAAGTGCTGCTGTTGTCAGCAGTGGAGAGTGAGGCTCCTCTTTATGCAGCATCTCAGGGGACAACCGTGGTGGGAAGGGCTGCTCAGAAATTAACGGGCTTTCTGGGTAACCGAGTTCTATGATCTCTTCTTCCAAATTAGAACCTTCAGGTTCAGGCATAGCAGCTATTGATGGGGAAGTTTCCAGCTCTTCTTTTTCTGGTTCTTGGAACACGAGAGGCTCAGGAAGAGAAATGGGTGGTTCAGGCTTGGGTTCCTCATTCTCTCCTTTGACACTGGGATGAG